GCATAGTAGCTATTCATTTATTTCTGACCAATTGGATGTTTTGGTGGAAGAAGCCCTCGAATACTGCGCTCCGCTTGGCCTAAATTCAGTCCGGAAAAATTCTCCGCCGAATACCCCTCGACCTTCAAAATTAATCGCAATATTTCCCTCAAGCTTCCCTGCAAACAAACAAAAGTGTCAAGTTTTGCAGAAAAATCATTATCAATCTTCATTAGTCCGAAGAAGAAGGCCTGCCATTTCTCTCATTTCAAACGTAACGTTGACCCCGTTGACAGCATGAATTCATACAGAAAACATCACAATTTTCTTTCATTCTCCATTAGTACTTATAGTTGAAAATTTACTAAAATTTTGCAAAAAAAGGAACAAAAATTTTTTTGTCTGAAACATAGAAGAAATAACCGTTTAAATGAGTTGTTGAAAAAAAACATTTGGAACAACAAAATTTTCTGGGTATTTTGGAAAGAATTCTTTTTCATTCTCCATTAGAACTCATATGAAAACAAGTGGGCAATTGCTTTCAATTGTGTCAATTATGGTGCCTGTTTTTGCTAATGAATTAGCAATATGCTTTCGAATGGAAATTGCCTTTTCATTGCACTTTGCCGTTAACTGATGATATACGTCCCCATAAGACTCTCATTACCCTTATCATCCTTATCACTCCGATGACCCCCACAATACTCTCATAAGACCCTCATATTCAGATGTCGCTGAAAGATCAGGGGACGCTACCCCCTAGCAATCCCCCATAGCAACCCCCCATAACAACCCTCCCTAGCAACCCTCCTAGCAACCACCCATAGCAACCTCCCTAGCATTCCCCGATCAATCCCCCCTTGCAACCCTCTTAGCAACCCCCCCCTAGAAATCCTCCTTAGCAACCACCCCTGGCAATCCCTCCTCATACAACCCTCATAAACCCCCATGAGACTCCCATAGGACCCTCATACGACCCTTATAAATCCCCGTAAGTTCCCCATAAAACACCGATATGACTCTCATAAGACCGCCATAAACCCCCATAAGACCCGCATAAAACTCCCATAAGACCTCCGAAAGACTCCCATAAGACCCCCATAAGACCCCCATAAGACCCCCATAATCTTACGCCAACCTTCCGCCAATCGTGTGCCAACCTTGTGCCAACATTGCGCCAACATTGGATCAACCTTGGACCAAATTTTTTAGAATAATCCAAAAACTAAAAACGCAATCAAGACGATCTTCAAACTCTGTCTGTATAACATAAAAACGCATATTTCTAGCCCAGATTCGATTGATTCAGATAATTATTTTTGAAATTATCGTGAAAAAACTGAATCGGTCACATACACACATGCACACGCGCATACATACATACATACGGATCGGGTTTAAAAACATCAGATTCGGACTCCTGACCCCCAAATTAGTCATCTTCACGAAGAAAACTGGAAACTGAAATTCAGAGGAATACAATGTTTCCATTCGGAAGCAAAAATGACTGAAATCTGTCTAAAAAATCACAAAAATAAATTTTTGTTTAAAAAAATGCCAAGTAACCATTTCGATGCGTTGTTAGAAGAATTTCACAAAAAAATATTCCTGAGAAATTCCAATGGATTCTCTTTAATTTTTCATTATTTTTCTAAAAATCATAAAAATAAATTTTTGTTGAAAATTTGTTGTTAAAAAAAAAAGGAACTTTGGGACAACGAGATTTTCTGTGAAAAATTTCAGATAACTCATTTGCAGACAATTGATTCTGGGGAATTAAAAAAAAAGAGAGAAATAAGGAAGAGCGCCAAGTTTCTTAGGTTAATCTTATTATCTTGTAGGACGACAGATCTTCTCATGAAATATAGACACAATTCCAACATTTTTAACAGTGGGTTGTTCTCAATGGCAACTCACCATTATCAATTCCTATGAGTGATAGTGGGGGCGGCCATAAAAAGTGTGGTTTATCCACACAAATTCCATAACCAAGAGTGTGAATATGAGTGGTTTCTTAAAAAAAAAGGTTCAGAAAAAGAGTCAGGACTAACGTACTTGCCGCGATTTTTAAAAAGAAATCATTCACAATGTTGTGCGGGGACGAGTTTCGAATGACAAAATGTGCATTGTACACTGTCCGACTGAGAAAGCTACCGTCCGTCTTTCTCGCATAGTATGTATTAGAAGGAGACACACAACACACACTTCGTCGTCCGGAGCTCGTCCCGGTTGCATGAGTAGTTGTACAGGGGGCCTATTCTCGAGTTTGAGGTGAACGGATCTGTGAACGGAAGTGGCTCCGTTCACGCATTTCGGTGGTGAACGAAAGTTTCCGTGAACGAATACTAGATCCACATGTGAATTAACTTCGTTCACGGAAGTCGTTTTCAATCACACACCGATTCCCAAGCCGCAAACTTCACAAGTCGTGGTATTCTGCATTAAAATGAATAAAAAAATTTAAAAAGTTCACGGTGATCAATCCGTAGAGGAGGGAAAACGGGCCAGTAATGCATCGGAAGAGCAGAAGGCCATGTTGCTTGAGTTTATTCGAAAACACCCACAATTAATTAGTGGTAAATTTTCAAACAGCGTCACGAAAGCATCTCTTCTCCAACTTTGGGAAATGATCATCTCAATCCTCAATAAAGTGCCTGGTGGTGCAGTAAAAACTGTTGCCCAATGGAAAAGGGTAAGTAAATGAATTTATTATTTTAAGGTTATGTACCGAACACAATAGCCTCCACTTCCTTGAAAAGTCTTTTTGTCCAAAGGTTCAAATTAAATTTACAACAGAAAATGTATTTTGACATATTTTCCTAAAGCCCCTCATTACCAGACTCATTTTATGTCTACAAGAAAAAAAAATGATACTACAATTTCCAAAATTAAATCTTAAATATTCTCAAAAAAATAGCAAGAAAAGTTGAAATATACGCAATAATTTTGAGTTAAACGGAGCCTGACGCGTTGAGATATATTGGGACGGAGCTGAGGAAAAGATCATAATTGATTGGTTATGTTCATAACCCTCATATCTCATTGTTATTGAACAGCCTTCCGAACTCATTTTGCTTTGGAAAATCTCATTTGGTTTGCTTAATTATATTTTGTAGACTTTCGCAGACCAAAAAAGGGCTATTAAGGGTAAATTGGCTGCTAATAATCGAAGTTTAAAAAAAACTGGTGGTGGTCCTTCAGAACATGAAGAGATAAGTCCAGAAGAATAACGCCAACTTACGGCGATCGTCCCTAAAGTAGCTGTGACTGGGAATACAGAAATTAAGGAATCAGAAACACTTTTTGTAAGTATGCTTGAATATTTTACGGGCCTCTGATAAGTAATAATCACAAATTTTATGACTATAGGATTATAACAAAAGTAGGGCTCGCGATACCGATAATTTGGGAGAACTTGAGGATTTTTTGGAGAGCTGCGACGGACTTTTGTTACCTGCAGCAGAATCTAAAGATGATAAAAAGGTTCATGTGGAGATGGTCAATGAACACATTTCTCCAGTTGTTATTCATATTCCTGATACCAGTGTGAAACTCAAGAACGATGATGTTGACTTTGATGTGATACCTGACGCTGATTTTTCAATATCGAAAATTCATGACTTGATGACAAAGACAGACCTTCCATTGCCCCATTCAGAGGCTCCAGTGCCAAAGACAGAGCTTCCACTGGCTCATCCAGAGACTCCAGTGCCAAAGACAGAGTCTTCAGTACTCAACTCAGAGCCCTCGGTATCAACAGCCGGAACTTTTCCTTGAAAATCAGGAACTTTTCTAACTGCTGGAGATGGAGATAAATCCCTTTCTGACTTTGTTCCCAATCCCTCCAAAAAAATGAAATCTGAGCAATCAGGTGAGATCCTTTGAATTTTTGTGGCACTTAATGCTAATATATAAATTATTCTACTTCCATTCCTCTACTCCCTTTTGTAGTATTTCCTGTTAAAGGAAATATCCGGTCAATGTCAGTACATCGCCAGGACGCATCACTACGTAATTCAGAGAACATTATCGCACTTTCAAGTGAGGAATTACAAATTAAAAAAACTACTACCAACAAAAGATTTTTTTCCTGGCAAAGGAGGCTCGAGCAAAGTATTTGCAGTCAAGAGTACTGATGAATTTGAGCAACAAGTTACAGCAGCCATGGTGATTCGTCCTTGCACTTTCCATTTATTTTTTCTTATTGTTCTTATTGTTTTCTTTATTGTTTTTCAGTATAATGCAGTGGTTATTTATCATGAGTCGATTCCGTAATTTTTGATGATTGTTCATCTACCTTGTAAATGAATGAGTTGAGGAGGAAACCCCAAAATACCTTTGTTGTTGCTGCATGTAGATTTTCTCGTAACGAGATTTTCTCGTTACGATTCTCAACGAAAATAGTGTTTATACATTTTCACCTAAAATCACCTATTATGGAAATAATCTAACATTTAACAAGTCAATTTCTAAATTTTCGTTGATTCAGCATTTATCTTGGACAAAAGTGATTTTAAGGAATAATGTTAACACATTTATTGTAGCTAAATGAATTTCTAACGAAATCTGTTTTTTGTCATTTTCTCTAAAAATCATTCATAATCAAGAAAATTCAATATCTAATAATGTGTTAAAAATATACTCTTAACATTTTGCCACTTCACTACTGATTCCTTCTTTCATCGAATACAACCATATCTCATGAGTTAAATAAGTTAAAGTATTAGGTAATAAGTACCACATTGTACCTGCGAGAGCATTCTCAAAGAGAAAGGGTGAGTCATTCAGCCCTATAAAAGAAGGCTGTAATTATTGAATGTAAACAAAACATGACTTAATCAGTGCAAATATAACAAACTATTAAGTACTATAAGAAGTATCATTAGTATTCCGAGCAGGCTGTAATTAGTCAATATTAAGAGGAGAGACGTTACCCTGTGCAAATGTGACAAAACTATTAATAACATGTTAATGTACTACGACGTAATAATATGATAAAAAATAACAGCGGATGATGACTGATAAAAAAGTTTTAATAAAACCAAAAATATTTTGATAAATTGCTCAACATTTGTCATTCATTTTTCTCATATTTCTCTCTTTAGAATAATCCCATAAATCGATTCAGTTGTGTACAGGGAAGCATAAATGACTCCACTCAATGTGAGGTTCAGTGTCGACAGATATTTCTGAATCTGATGAGGGAGGTAGCGTAATCTTTATAAGGACTTCTTTTGTTATCCTCAAAGCTCTGAATAAAAAAATCGCCATGAAAATTTTCCTATATCTCTCAAAATCTCAGATTTACTCAAAAATGCTGATTGTGAAGCGAAATTGATTCATTTTATTCTACCGCTTCACAACTGGGCAAAATAAATTTCAGGTGTGAATTATGTGTTCAGTGGTTTGTTAGTTTAATCAAACTTCTTTTTTAACACTGTTGAAATATTTTGTCTGGAATTTCCGGTACACTTCGAAAATTTCTATCATATTTAAGGTCCACTGAAATTACAAGGAATTTCGTCCTTGAAAATTCAGAATTTCGCAGAAAAAATCATAAGAACTGTGAATTTCAGTTATTTCATTCCCTAAAAATTAATAGAAACAATAAAATTCCAGTGAATATATTCTTGAATTTTGAATTTTTGTAAAATTCAGTATAATGGGGCAATGAATATTCCTGTTTCATTGAAAATTCAAATAAATTGAGGAATTCTCGTCTGTATTTAAAATTGTGGAATTTCCTTGAAGATTCAGTGAAACGTGAAATTTTATAATTTTTTTTCCCCCTAAATCGCATTTAGTGTGACTGTTCTGAAAATTAGTAGTCAACTGTCTATGAAATTTCATTTTTTTTCTAACAGTGTAGTCCCTAGATGAACCAGTCTCTGACAATGCGTTGACGAAGATTCCGACCTGCCGCTAATTCTGGATTCACACGTGCTATATGCACATTGACCTCATCCAGTTCTGCATCATTAATTAGTCCATAATCTTGGTTGTTCACATACGGATCATCTTCTCCTGCAGGAAATAGGAATCCGTCCATGATCGCCATGTTGTGGAGAATGGCACAGGTGTTCGTAATTTTTGCAGCAGTGGTTGGATCGTAATGAAGAACACGATGTTTAAGTAGACAACGGAATCTCATTTTTAGAATCCCGTTGACACGTTCAATGATGGATCTTGCACAGCAAAATACTCTATTGAAGGCTGCTTCAGGCGAATCATCCAATGGATCTTTAAAGGGCGTCATAAGCCATGGACGCAAGGGATATCCTGCGTCGCCTAGAAATATTCATGATTTTTTATTTTCTATTTAAATTTTGTATTACTTTGCAAGGAAAGGAGAGGATTGAATTAAGAACGACATGTAAACCTTTTTACTCATAGACAAAACATTAATTTTGATAATTATGGAACTGGATCCGAAGTGAATAGCATTTTATATTACCTAACAAATAGAATCGTTCACCATTATAATTGTGCAATCTGCGCATCAACGGTTGAATGTTGCTATCGTTCCAGATGGCACAATCATTTGCACTTCCTGGATACCTGGCGTTGACATTTAAGATTTTAAAATCAGCATCACAAATCTGTCAGACATAAAACAGTGCAATAGCAGAATAATTGGGAACTAAAGATACGGCTGATATTTTTTTGGTTGGTCACTTGACTCACCAATTGGACATTCAAGGAATGATATCCTTTACGATTCACGTAGATGTTTTCAGGGTGAATTGGGTGATTAATGGCAGGAGGAACGATTGCGACATGAGTGCCATCAATACATCCAATTGCGTGAGGGAAATTAAATCGGCGGAGGAATCTGCAAATAGATGAGCTTATACTAAAGAATTTGAAAAAAAAACCCGGAATTTTACATAATGCAACAAGCCTCCCATCTACCTATCACGAGATCTTCGAACTTCATCAATATTCCTGTAGAATCTAACATATTCCCCGAAGATTTCGTCACGATTCAAAACGTTGACGACTGTGTGAATGCATCTACTCACTGATGGCTGACTGATTGCCGAATATCGGCTTAACCCAATATCCAGTTGATAGCTACCAGTCGCAAAAAATCGTAATGCTGTGAGCACCTAAAAAATGAGTAATTTGCTACTAAAAAATAATTAATTAAGGTCACTCACAATTGAGTTGTCACTCAATATCTCGGAATCCTAAGGAGACAAATAGTATAACATTGTCATATATAGAAAAATATTATCTATTCCAAATTTTGTTAACTACAAAAAAAGTTCTTTGACGTTGCATCGTGAAATCACTCATTATTGAGATAATCACGTAATTATTATCCCACAAAATTCAAATCGAATGTGATACTTTAATCAATTATGTAATTATCACCATAATAAGTGAATTTACGAGAAAATGAGAAAAAATTATTTAGAGCTGAGAAAATTCCTCACAAACAAGGTCTATTGACAATTTATCGTAAAACACCTGTTTACAGAGATGATTGTATAATTATTATTCACTTCATAATTTAGTAGTAAAGTGGTAAGGCACGATAAGCCTACTTCTATCTCCCTTAGTTTCAAAGATATTTGTAAAAAACTACCCCTAACGTCAACTCAGTTCGTTTTCTCATTCATCTGCTATTGGGTCATTTACACGATCCTCAATCTGAAAAGTATCAATTTTTAACGACAATAATTCATAATAATAATGCAATTTAATGTCGTCTTGAACTTGGAAATCATGAGAAGAGTTTTTCACTAATTATTATTCATTTACTTACTTTCGTGCGAATATCCAACGCTGATCGTCTGGTTGGACCTGGTGCATATTGGCCAACAATATCAATCAATTGCAACACTCTTTCTTTAGTTAAACGATAAATTTTTATAAAATTATCGTTCGTAAGCTCCTCGAAAGGGTTGACAGCGTCATGAAAAAGTCGAGGACCGTAATCGTGATATTCGTCTTGTTCAAAATTTTGAAGTACATCGTAATAGATATATCTCCGCAACCATTTATCCATTTTTCAACTTATTATAAAACAAATAATTGAACTATAATAAATAAATTGAAACAATTAATGTTTAATGCTTCGTTCCCCAGAAGAGGTTAACTGTATCCTCATAAGAGTATACTCACGTGTGAATCGAAAACGACATCCGTCAACGAAATTGATTCACATGTGGATCTCGGATTCATTTACGAAAACTTTCGTTCCCCAACGCGATACGTGAACGGAATCACTTCCGTTCACAAATCCGTTCACCTCAAACTCGAGAATAGGCCTCCAGTGACTCTCCATGTACGGAAAAATAGTCGCTGTAAGAGCTTTCAAATATTACCACAAATCTCATCCACCATCCTTATTTTCTCTTATATGATTGCATAGACTTTAACTCACTGTTGTGATAAAGGAACAATTCTATTAATTGCAGAACAATCCTTCGTATTGATTCAAGCCAAGGAATCGACAAATATGCCACTTGGTTAAAATCCTCGCGAGATTTTTACATTAGACTGAAAGACCGCGCCAAGTACGTTGGTCCTGACTCTTTTTCTAAACCTTTTTTTTTAAGAAACCACTCATATTCACACTCTTTGTTATGGAATTTATGTGGATAAACCGAACTTTTTATGACCGTCCCCCACTATCACTCATAGGAATTGATAATGGTGAGTTGCCATTGAGAACAAGCCACTACTAAAAATGTTGGAATTGTGTCTATATTTTATGAGAAGATCTGTCGTCCTACAAGATAATAGTTTAACTTCAGAAACTTGGCGCTCTTCCTCATTTCTCTTCTTTTCTAATTTCGCAGAATCAATTGTCTGCAAATGAGTTATCTGAAATTTTTCACAGAAAATCTCGTTGTCCCAAAGTTCCTTTTTCTTCACAACTAATTTTCAACAAAATTTTTTTTTAATGATTTTTAGAAAAATAATGAAGAATTAAAGAGAATCCATTGGAATTTCTTAGGAACATTTTTTTGTGAAATTCTAACAACGCATCGAAATGGTTACTTGGCGTTTTTTAACAAAGATTTATTTTTGTGATCAATTAACACAATCATAACTTACTGCAAGCAATTGTTACTGCCAGTGAATTGGAATTAAACAAAGCATGTCGTAAGTCAAATTAGAAATGAATTTTGAGATTGTAGTAAGGTGTCGTCAAACTCAGAAAAGTTTGTATTTTTTCACCATAAAAATACCCTGAATTGACAACGAAATTACAGATTATGGTAATTCTACATAAATGTGGATATCAGAAATCTCGTTTAAACTGACATACGGAAAGCTCAATTCAGTAGCGAAGTGGTAAACCGGTATAAGTCGATTTTGACTATTGGCCAGTTTTCAATAAATATCTCGGAATGTAAGGGAAATAGCGAAATTGTTGTACTCTTCTTGTTTGAAACGCAACTAAAATTCCAGAACATTCTGGTCGACCATCGGCCTACTTCGAAAATTTCCGGGACCCTTCTGGTCATCAGTCATAAGTCACCGAAACACGCGCGAATCAGTTTAGGCTTAGCCTCGCACCGTATAAGTCTATCTCGAGCAAATCACCTGTAGACGTCGTATAGTATCAGTACAGTTCCAATCAGTACATCAACTCAGTTAATTTATTCAGTTTTATAAATTCAGTCTAAAGTCAATCAACGCTGTTAAATAATTATCAGTATAAATTCAATAAATTAATCAACAACTTTCTAGAGACATTTACCCGTGTATAAAGTGTACATATTTTCAGACTTTGATGGCTGTAGGCCACCAATCAATTGTGACTTCAGAAAACATCAGTAATTTTTCTTTCACGGCTCATCCTACTTTAACTATCCTCTAACACCTCCTACAATCCACCCAATTTACAGATCCTCTACTCAAACACTTCTTTTTTGTAGCTCTCAATTTGCTCTACAAAAAAGGTTATGACAAAAATTTTGCTATTTCCCTTAGATTTTGAGATATTCATTGAAAACTGGGTAATAGTCAAAATCGACTTATACCGTTTTACCACTTCACTACTGAATTGATGGATATACAAGTACTTCGTTCAGGTTAGCAACTTTTTTTTCATGCGAGATTTCAATTTTACCAAAAATCTTGCCATTCCCATACTTTTTCGAATTTTTCATTGTTGAATATATTTTTTCGTGAATTTCTTCAATGAATATTGTAAATAATATTTGATTCAATTTCACACTTGACTCTCTTTCTTGACTCTCTTTTCGTTGTTGTATCATATAACCTCGTAAATTCGGTCTGAGTAATCACTTGAGCGGACCATAGCGAAACGTCAGGAACGCGCGAATTCAAACCATCCAATATGGTCGTCGTCGCAATCAGGAAGCTTCTAATTTGATTGTTTGCAATTATTTGTCCGGAAACTTGGATTTTTCAATGCCGCAAAAAAATAATAAACAGTACAACGAACAAATTCATACACGGTCATGTGTATCAGAAAACGCTTTAAAACTATGAACTATTAGATTAAAGGTATAAGGTGAGATAATACAGCTCTTATGAATGCAATGTGTTGATTTTCATTTTTTCAAAAATAATTTTCTCGAAGAAATGTTCGGAAACTAAGGTTTATATTGCGCCTAAGAATACTCTTGGTCTATTTTAAAAACTCTGAAGAGGATTTTTCCCAGAATAAATTGCCCGAACAATTTGGATATGCTTAACAGCATTTTTCGTCACTGTGGCGAAGAAAAACCTGTGTCATTAGGCCCGATTAACTGCGATTCTATTTCGAGCGCAATGAAATAAAATATTGTATGTCACACGGTGATAATAGCAAATTATGTCATCAGACGATAAAAGTATTATGTGATCAATATGACTTTATAATCCGAGCCGAAGGCAAGTCACTGTGCCGAAGAAATTTTTTTTGGCGTATATGTGGATACAGGACGAGCTATTTCGGCCGAGTGACGAACATAATTTTTTTTTACAATGTCTGTAAACAGCGTTTGACAGATATGAAGTGTCCCTCGCCTTCGGCTCGGGCTCCAACCTCATATGCACCAGAAAACTTTTATTAGATATTATGTCAAAATGCACTATTTTATTCAAGGAAATAGTATTGATAATGACATTTATTTATTTATTTTCGTCTACCGTTGGCTTAACAGAGAAAAGTTAGAGGACAATTTATTTTTAAAAATATTTTAAAAGATGAAGGAAAATGGGGTGACGAGAAATCTCCTAGAAAGTAGTCTCTCCACTTCTATCTCATAATTGAAGTAAACTAAGCAGAGAGAATTCATCTTTTCATAGTTTTCTCATAACCCTTGCATCTCAGACACACGAGAATAAAGATACTAAATCATATATATCTCATGATATACTTTTGATCACATCTGATAGATGAAAAAATCCATACATTTATGAATTAATACATTGTTAAATAAACTGATTAATGCAGAAATTGGTGGATAAATAAATGTTTGAAAAATGTTGCACGTTTACACCTGACTTTTCAGAAATGTTACTAAATGGCCGATACTTTCCGTGGCTTGAATGCTTAAAAGGGTTAAAACGCTTAATTTGATTCGCACCATTTAATCCCAAAATACTTAATTGAAAGAGAATTCACCGAAAATATATCTAAAATATATCTACTACGTACTATAAATTTTTTGAGAGTATACTTAGAGTACATCCATCACATATCGCCACCGTAGACAGTCGTATTGTATGTTGCATGCATTCTTTATGTGTTCCGGACATATTAATTGTGATGTATTTCATCCATATATGTCAGGTTATAATGAATATAGGTAGGGTAGATCCGGAATCTATACATAGTATGGATAAAGCATATATGGTATGAATATGGTTTCTATAGACATCAGATACATGCAAGATATCTCTTAGGTATAAATGAAAAACGTAACATGAATATATGCCCCAGATATATCTATTTTGTGTACCAATTATATTTGACATACATTTATCATATATTTATACTTGAAAGATATGCTCAGATATATCGGTGGATATAAATATTTCCATGCGAGCGAACACGGTGAAATTAATAATTTGAGCTTTACTTGTCGATTTTGGTTCTGAAAATGACATCCAGCAGTAAAATGACCACCAACTTCGGACAATGCCGAGAATATCCGGACAAAAACCATGTTTTGAATTTCACTTCTAGGCATTTTCAAAGGCATTCGATTCAATTGGAAAATTTTGTGATTAAATCGTTCAATTATACGAACTGAGATTAACTGAAGCGAAAGATCTCATATAGTAAAGAAACCTCATTTTCTATGCAAAAATTAATGTTCAGAAACATTGTGCAATTTTGAATCCGGAATCGCGTACGATATTCGGTGTAATGATCCATATACAAATGGTGAGAATGAATGTGAAGTTTCTGATGATACTCTACTCACCCGAAATCGAAGATTTCCAATTGGAGCTTTGGGATAAGGGATCTCCTTGAATGCAATAAAAGTCCCTCCATTTACATTATTCTCCCTAATTCCCTGTATTTTTCCCGAGTCTAGCTCAATCACTAGGGCTGCCATCATTCGATACAAGATGCCGAGAAATACTGATGTATGTGCTTCTCGCCGAGACAGATGGATTGTTCATGTTCTGATAACTGTCAACATCTATCCCCTCCTCTCCGTACATTTCACAGAAGATTAAGTGATTGTCATGTTATCAATTTTATGGCATAATCCTACAATCTTCTTTAGTTCCCACACACATGGAAATCTATCCTGCATTGAATGTTATCTTTGTTTTTTTGTTCACGTTTATAAATCTTTCAGGCGAAAATTGCATCTGCGTATGTTTGTGAGTGAATCTTCTTATCTGCAATGATTGCCAATTGTGCGAGCTCAAAATGAATAGCATCACTTTTTCAGAACGAATAGAGTAGATAATAGCCGTGAATAGTTTCTTAAATTTATATTCTACCATTTGAATTGACATGCATGCTTCATGATTCATAAGCTTTCTTATTCATTATGATTGAACGTAAGAAATCTTTTTATGCCTCTTATTGATGGTGGAATTTTTTTCGATTAGAAAGAAAATAGTAACAGTTTTTACAATGTGGAGGTGAGCAGATTGTAGTAATAATGAATCCGAGGAGTAGAGGTGGTTTAAACAAATTGGGATTTTTTATTGTTTTTATATATATACTATCTGGATGGTTGGAAATTTGTGAGTCGTGAGTAGACTGAGTACAATTTATATTTGAACTTGAGTGTCTGAATGAATTAATCAGTGTCGAATGGTTGAACGATATTGAGTGTTGGAAGTATTCGCTATGTACGGAGATTGCAGTTGGGACATAAGGATGGGATTGGTTGGAAATTTGGAGAAGGTTTGAGTAGATATGCAGTGCCGGTTCTGGACCACCAAAACCGGAAGTCACTTCACAAAAAGGCGGGAAATTTGAATTTCACCAAACTGGAGGTGACGTCGTGACGTGAAATTCGAAAATCCACCACTAGAGGGCAGGTGACGTCACAAAAGCGCGGGCAATTTGAATTCCACTAATTAAATATCACCAGGGTCAGGAGTGGGTGGTTCCATTGACCAATCAGAGTGCGGAAAATTTGAATTTTCGTAATGGGTTGCCACTGTGGGTAGAATGGGTCGGGGTGAGGGGGTTGTAGGTAGGGACTTGTGGTTGGGGGATATTGTCAGCGAGGCGAAGATCGTGCGCGTATGGGCGTGACGTCGGGCATCGTTCGGCGTGCTCGTCAATGCTGAAATATGCGGGAACCGTGCACGTGTGGCATCCGATGAGGCGTCATACTTAGTGGCAAGCGCCACCTGGCGGTAAGCGAGTTGAGTTTGAGGCAGGAGTGAGTCGGTAAGATAGAATGCTACTGGTTACAATGCGATGCCACTCGCGGGCTGCTGATCGCTTCTCTCCAATTTCTGATTCTGATTCCTGATTTCTGATTTTTTATTTCTGAATCGTACATTATGATTTCTGAATGTTGCTTTCTGATTTCTGAATGCTGCATTCTGATTGTTGAATGTAGCATTCTGATTCGGTAATGTTCCATTTTATTTCTCAATTTTCTATATCTCTCAGTAACAGTGATTTCAACAGTTGATAATATAGAGTTCTCTGATGTCATTCGCGGGATTTTCAAATGCTGTATTTTTTCATCAATTCAATTTCTACAGATAGGGGGAAAATTGAAAGAAATATAATACATATCGTATATATATATTGATATATATATATATATATTTTTCTTTTTTACATTTCCATTTTTACATTTTTTTCATTTTTGATTTTTTATATTGGTCATCATCTACAGCACCGTATTTTCCTAGAGCAGCTTCCTCCTCTTCTAGAATTCTCGCTGCTGTTCCTGCGACCAGCTGCTCCCACTAGACTTCGTATTTTGAGAACGTTTATCCATTTTTTGATGTGATCTTCTTGATGGTTGATTAGTGAATGAGAATAATTCTGCTTGTTTTCGCTTTATAAGGTTTAACGTCCTTGAAGAACTTACATACAGAATCGTTCTTTTTTATTGGTGGATTAGACGAATGACGTACGTTACATTTACGACAATTCAGAATATCCTTATCCTTCTGCAAACTCTCAGGGAATTCATTCCAGACATTTTCAATGCTCTGCGACGCGAACATGAGTAGAATTTTTTTGGGAAGTACGGAAATGTCTCGACTGCTCCTCTTCTTGAGACTTTTCAGGATGCAGAAAATGTCCAGAGATGGATGTAGACTGACATTCTGATTTTCCATGTACGAGGTCCTTAAACTCTTCACGTTTTCCAAACCTCAAACGAATGACATCGGTTCATGGTCATTACGGGGATTCAAACATCTTGGAATTTCCAAGTCTGATCATTTTGGACAATCCAAATCTTCCAAATTGATCACTGATTTAGAACTTCCTAGGATCTCTTGAAACCACCGTTTTTTCTGTACTCCTGTCACGCAAAGGTTCATTGCGTTTTTAGCGATATCCTCAACAATTTGTGGAACCTTAGAGTACGGTGTTTCACCAGCTCCCCATAGTATACCATGGAAGTTGTTCATGAACCATGTGTTGGAGCGTTTGGATTTAGTTGATAATTTATTCCATGAATAGGGTGGTTTGAAGAGAGTACACTCAACTCGTTGCGGATCGTTGGTATAGGCAACTGCCAGCTCTTTAACGATGAACATATTTTCATCACTTTGAAATCCCTGAACGTCCAAAATCGCTTCCATCTTTAGGTTGCACTGTTCAGAGCACGACTGATTGCTCTCGACGAAAGAGATTTTTTCAAGGCATTCGATTTCTTTATTACGCGCAATACTCTCAACTGTATGTGAACAATTCCTGGAACTGTTTACGTTCAAAAGTACTGCGTAGTGGTGGGGAAGATNCAAGGCATTCGATTTCTTCATTACGCGCAATACTCTCAACTGTATGTGAACAATTCCTGGAACTGTTTACGTTCAAAAGTACTGCGTAGTGGTGGGGAAGATTAGCTGGGTAAGGGAGACTTGTTTCGGATTGGTTAGTGAAAGAAAAGGAGGTGGGAATTGGGATATTTAGCGCATGCTCATGATATTGATAATGAATAACAGCAGCACTAGATTGCTTGAAACGTCGCAAATTCGTTTTATGAATTACGTCATAAATTGCAATACATGATTGAAATGTGCGAAATCTTCTAAATGCATTCTAGAACATTCCCCAGCCGTTTATATGAAGCCTTTTCACTGAGAGCCCGTCAGTCTTCATTATGGATCACTTCAACCCAGGCGAAGTGAAATTACGGTGTGCACTCCCACCATTTTTGGTGGACTACGACGACATTGTCATCAGACATTATGGTGATAATCCACCACAAACGGCATGGAATTGTCTCCATGATTTGCTCAAATTAAAGGAGAATTTGAAACTTGTGAAAAGTATTCACATCGGACCATAAAAGCGAACATAACCTAACTTCTGACGAAGTTAATTTGCTACCCTTAATAGCACCATCCGTCTGCGAATACAATAAAATCATCATAAATAACTACGGCATTAATCCATCGCAAACGGCATGGGATTTTCTACAAGATTTCCCGGAATTGCAAGGAAATTATAAAATTGTGAAATTTCGTCGTAACTTGGATATGGACGAAGGTGAGGCGAAAGAGGAGAAAGAAAAACCAGTCGCTAGTACTTTACGGAAGAGCGACGCAGAGATCCCTCGTGCTAAAGAACATCTGGAAGAGGAACCAGCACCTAGTACTTCGAGTGTTAATAATGGAGATGAACGTTCTTCTGCGGTAAAACGTTCCCACTATAAGGAGAGCAGCCAACAATGGCATCATCATCCATACAGACGTAATAAGTTTGAGAGATCGAGGAGATTTTGATTTTCATTCAATGAAAAATGAAGATATACATGTAATGTACAAAAAAATTTATTACATCAAAAAAATATTACATGGAAAGAATAAAATATTGTTGATAACCATAATTGTTCATGTTTAAATCATGTTTTTCACTCCCCCACTGATTGGATGGTACTCCACTATATGATCATGTAAGATTAGGCAATAAGCTGCAGTTTGAGCGGGAAAATTACAATCAGACTCGAATTCAAGACAAATATCAACTGGTCCGGACTTCAAGTACTCATTTTGCTTTGAACAATCAATGACAATGAATGGAGCATAAGTGAGAAAATCTGTCTTACTCAACAATGGCTCGGCCTCTTTACCATAGTAAGAGCTTTGGAAATTCGAATACATGTCATAGAGTAATGCGTACTGATTATGACTAATTTCTCTTGCTCTTGAGGAAGAGCTTTATGTCGCGGATATTACAATGATCGAAACGACTGGAATTTTTATTGGTTTGGTTTTTGCGGTTTGTTTGGAATCCTACGATGATATAACGAGGTTTCTCCAGTTGAGTTGAGCATTTCACCACCCAGACGTGTTTAGAGGTCGCTGGCAGAAGCGGATACTCGTACGTCTCCCAGGCTCGAGAACTAATGGGAATTGGTGCGTCCTTGGAGATGTAGTTCAGCAGATTGATTGTCTTGGAATCAGCTACTCTGATGTAGGGAACCACCCACTCTACTTTATTCAGTGAGAGTCTGAATGCTTCAGCAGCAGCTCCTCCTGCCGGTGCTTAGATGACTGCATTCATGTCGGTGTTTCCTCGTATCAGGATTAGTTCATATTTTGTATTTACAATGATCCTTTCATAATCCTCAGCAAAACCCAACAACATACTCAAAGGTATGGAGATGTCAAAATAGCCATTCGCATCGATAATTGCTGATTCATCGTCCTTGACAACCAGCATTCTCCAGAAGAGCAGCTTGACCGGGAGTTTGCGACACGTAATTCTTCATCAGTGTCGTGATGCCAACATTTTTGTTTCTATCAATCACAATGGCGGTCAATTCATAGCGGATCTTCTCAAATAAATGGAGGATAGCACAATTCACTGATCTCGTATGCGCTGCAGCTCCTCCATCTGCTTTCGTCAAACATCCGTCTACATGCAGTGAACTCTTACTCGGCAGCAGGCACAAATC